GTCTGGGACTCATCCTCAGGCCTGGCCAGCAACCACCTGGCCCACACGCAGAGGAGCAATGGAGCCTTCCATGACGATCCAGGCTGTTGGCTGGAGTGAGGACATGAGGTGGGGGGCAGCCTCCACCTGGGACACCACAGACCTCACATCCAGGGAGACTCAAATGTGTCCATCACTCTCTCCACTGTTCCCTGAATGGAGGAGGCCGCCCTTGGCACTGCCTGCCCCATGTGGCAGAACAGGAACTCAGGACTGCTGATGGGCTAGGCGGGCAAGGCCGGGGTTTGCACGTCCCCACAGTGACTGCCTGGGGAATCTCCAAAGTGGAGCTTCCCTCTCTCGCTCTCTGGACACCTGGACAGATGGCCCCTGGTCTGGGACTAGAGGCGTCCTACAAACCATGTGAAATAAAGAAAAAGTGCCTGAGAGGTGTTTGCCTGTGATACCTGCTCTGGGTTGGAGGAGCATGTCGCCACCCCTGGGAGGACCTGCCTGGATCCTCCAGCAAACACTGTTGTTGGAATGTCACACGTACTCTTCACCAGAGGGAGTTGGGCCTGGTGGAGGTGCACACATATGGATCCAGAAACCAGAGGGCGCAGGGAGTTCTTGGAGCTGCATCAGTGAGGAGAGCTTGCTGTCCTGAGAGCTGCCTCTTGTCACCTTGTTTCAGCACCCAGCCTCCCCAGTCCAGGGCCATCCAGACTAGGCAGGTTGGGGGCTAAGGGCCTCACAGGGCCAAGAGCAACCTCCCCATCCTCAAGCTCCCAGGCTACAAACTAGTCCCAAACTGGGAACTGGCTGGCAGGTGGGGCCCATGAGGATGGGCAACCAGTTGGAACTTGCCAGCAGGTGGGGAACTGTACAAGACTACACCTAGGAGAGTTAGGGGGGCTTGTCCAAGGTCACAGGGGATAGGGTGTGTGACTGGGATTCAAAACCTGCTGGGTCTGCCTCTAGATCCTCCCTTTACCCATCCTGGGTTTGGTCTCATCTATTGTGTCCTGTGAGGGCAGCTGGCCCCCTGGTGAGATTGGCATACAGGTGACCTGAGGGCTGGGAAGATCAAAGGGTTGCATTCCAGGGTCATCCCTGGGGGCCTGGGCCTTGGGTGTGACCCTGCCTCATCTATTGCTCCAAGGGCTAACTAACCTGTGTGCCCCTTGAGGTAGACACTCGCTCTGCCAATTTCCCAAGGGAGAAAACGCCAAGGAAAGGCTGGAGGGTTGAGTCAGTCAGGGCTGGGACCCAGAGGCTCATAACCACATAAGTTTGAATGGTACCCCAGGCCATGAATTCCGAAGTCCACGGTCATGATCTCCACCCCCCCGCCCCCAAGAAATTAGGGAAGGCTGCCTGGATGTAGGAGAGCTTAGTGTGGGAAGCACCCTGCCAGGAGTGAGTGTATTGAAAGAATTTTGAGCAGGGTGCGCGTTGCACGTGGGCATGACACCGAAGGACGTGGTCCTCTCAACCCTTCTTGAAAGGTTAAGGTGCTTACGAGGAAAAGAGGCAAATCGGCCCTAAGTAAACATGGACAGGATGGCCTCTCCTTCAAACAAGACTACTCTCGCCCTAAAGCTGTACACCTCCCCCCCGGAAGGAGGTCAAATGGAAGCACTTCCGCCCTCCCTTAAGATGGCGCAGGCGGAAGGGGCGGGGTATCGCTGGGTAGTGATGGCCGCCTCGAGGCTGGAGTTGAATCTGGTACGGCTACTGTGCCGCTGCGAGGCGATGGCAGCAGAAAAGCGGGACCCAGACGAGTGGCGTCTGGAGAAGGTGAGAGAGCCTGCATCGCTGCGCAGATCTCGACTTCCGTAAGGCGGTGCCCGGGGCTAGCAGTGGGTCTCCACAGCCCCACCAGCCGCCCTTGCCACCCCACTTCAGTGGGTTCCGCCACGTCCGCCCTAGTACCCGGGGCTCAGCTGGCCCCGTCTCCTAGGCTTTGGCCCCTCCCGTTTCCATTACTTCCCTGCCCCAGCTCTAACCCCTCGTTTGACGCTACTCTCTTCGTGCTTGATGGGGGGGGGGGGGGCGGGGGCGGGGGTGTGTAGAATGGGATACCCGGCTGACGCCCACTTTTCCTCCCCAGTACGTGGGAGCCCTCGAGGACATGCTGCAGGCCCTGAAAGCCCACGCGAGGTGAGTGCAGGCGACCAGAGGGGCTTCAAATCGTGGGCGGGGTGTGGGGGCAGTGTAGAGACCACAGAGGTAGGTTCTGTGTGGGATCCCTAGGCCCTGTCCCTGCTGCAGCCCTTCCCTGAATCAGAGACAGCAGGCAGGTTACCTTTTTCTATGTCTCGCCATCTAGCAAGCCGGTCCCTGAGGTGATCAATGAATATTCCCGCAAGGTTGACTTTCTGAAAGGGATGCTGCAGGCAGAGAAGCTGGTGAGCATTGGACCCTATTTCCTCAGCTTCCTCAGCCCCCATCAGGCTCTCCTGATGTCCCAGGACTCCACCCTATAGTGACCCCTCTTCCTTCTGCAGACCTCATCCTCTGAAAAGGCACTAGCCAACCAGTTGCTGGCCCCTGGCCGTGTGCCCACCACAGCAAGGGAGCGGGTGCCTGCCACCAAGACGGTCCATCTGCAGTCCCGGGCGAGATACACCAGCGAGATGCGGAGTGAGCTGCTAGGCATGGTAGGGCTCCCTCCCTGGTCCTTGGGATCCCTTCATTCTGGGACAGGAGTTCAGTGCCTGGGGGGTGGCCAGAACGACAGATACTATCGGGAGCAGGGACCCTAGGAGGCCTCTGCCTTAGGCTATAAAACAAGGCTTCCCAACAGAGGGGGCATTCTGGCCAGGACTTTGCTAGAGGAACAGGAGTTTGTTTCAAAAGTGGCACCTGTCCAGTTAAGCCAGAGTTAGCCCAGTACAAGTTTTGGCTCCTGGCTTGCCATTTGCCATGTGCTGCATATAGACAAGATTTTTTCATCTGTAAATAGGATGACAACTGCCTTTCTGAGCACTTTACGTAAATCAGCTAAACCATTCAGAATAGGAGCTGTTGACATTGCTAGTTTATAGATGAGGAAACTAAGGCTCAGAGGATGCAGGACTAGACCAAGGCCCTGACTAAGGGTACAGGGGTTCTGAGAGCAGAAAGGACATTTTTGGGGACGTGACAAGGTGGGTGATTTCCTGCCTATCCTTTTCCCCACAGGATTCTGCAGGAGGTGAGTCGCCCTGAGAAGAACAAGACTCAAGTCCCAGCTGCTTGGGATGTGACAAGTGTCCTTGCTGCTCTCCTTCCCTGGTGCTTCATCTGGGTCCATCACCAAGTCATGTCTGGAGAGGGCAGTTGGGACAGAGGATGTGCCCCAAAAAGAAACTGGAGGGAGGAACCTGGGGCCAGAGAAAACCCAGACCAGGATGAGGAAAACATCCCAGACAAGAGGGTTTTGGAGGTAGAGCTTTGAAGCATGATCAGTTAGGAAAGGACCTATGGGTAGCAGACCCATCCCAGGCAATTAATGGGCAAGAAGCTGGAACACAGAAAATCAATCCTTTCCTCCTTTCTGCTTGGTCTGTTCCTCTTCCAGAGCCGAAGCTGGATGTGAGGAAGAGGACGTGAGTATCTTCAGCCCTCAGGCAGCACTGGGGGGAAGGAGGGCTGGATAAACCACTGAGGAGCCGCCACAAGTGTCTAAATCACCCATCAGACACCACTTCTGGGAATGCTTTACCCAGAAGCCAGAGCAAATAAGGGAAGACTGAGCCCCAAGCACGGCAGTGGCTGCAGCCATAACCTCTGGGTTCCCTGGGAACGTGTTTGTCTCTTCCCCTCCCCTACCCTGTCTCATGTCCACCTGTCCACTTGTGTGTGAGGTCAGTGGGGTGGCAGGGCCCAGGCCAGGGGATGAGAAGCAGTCGGCCGCTGAGCTGGACCTCGTCCTGCAACAGCAACAGAACCTCCAGGAGAAGCTAGCAGAGGAAATGCTAGGCCTGGCCCGGAGCCTTAAGACCAACACGCTGGCTGCCCAGACTGTCATCAAGAAAGACAACCAGGTATGGGGACTATGGGAACTCTGCAGTTTCTACCCTGGGGCATCAGAGAAGCTGATGCCCAGTAGAGCGGTGTAGGGTCTGGGACTTGGCTGGATGAATAGGAGTTTAGTAGAAGGCCAAAGTAGCATTTCTAGCAGAGGAAACAGCACCAAGGGCCAGGAGGGGCTGACTTGCCGCCCCCAAGTGGCAGGGAGAGAGGCCACACTTGACCCCAGTCCTGTCAATACTTGCCCACCTCACCCCTAGACCCTGTCACACTCACTCAAGATGGCCGACCAAAACCTGGAGAAGCTAAAGACAGAATCAGAGCGACTGGAGCAGCACGCACAGAAATCAGTCAACTGGCTGCTTTGGGCCATGCTTATCATTGTCTGTTTCATTTTCATCAGTATGATCCTCTTCATCCGTATCATGCCCAAACTCAAATAAAGACCTATCCCAGCCCATCCCATCTGTCCTCTATCTGCCCTTCACCCCTACCCAGAGGTACCCTTTGGGGTGGACAAGATGGCAAGGCCAGGCCCTTGGAGGCCCCAGGGAGCCATGAAGACTGAATGGGCAGAGGAGGAACATCAAGCTGGGGGCAGGGGTGGTGACTCAGCAAAATGTTCCCCCTTCCATCCCACTTTCCCTTGGTACTTACCTACCTCACGCCAAACTAGGCAGGGCCCCTAGAAGCCCCAGGAGACCCCAGTCTGCTAGAGTCGGAGCCAGACACAGCGCCTCAGCCCTGTGGAGTCGGGGCGAGTGAGGCCTGGAGGGTGGGGGAGGAATGGTGCCGACCAGTGAAGGTCAGCTTTCCTTGCAGTTGAAGGTGGTAATTTAGGGGCAGTGCTCAGCACAGCCTAAGGTCTTGGGACATTGCAGATGCTTCAGACAGTTATTCGGCAAACCCAGAGGGTTGGTGGAGTCCCTGCCCTGCTAAGGCCACAGTCTGATCATTCCAAACAAGAACTGGAGGGCACTGGAGATGGGACCCTGCAAAGGGTCATGAGTGGGAGTCCAGGGTAACAGTGGGTCCTGGCACGTGCCCTCCCTCACTTCAGACTCTGGAGGCAAAGCCTGGGAGGGTGGTGACCAGGGCAGCTCAGTGAGGGAGGGTGGACAGGTACGCAGGAAATGTCTGTTTCAGATCCTTGGTAGCATGAGCAGGCACTGTGGGACACTCATGGAGGTGCCCACTTGGATCTGCACCGACGTGGGTTCAAAACCACCAGGTAGAGCTTTTTAGAAGCTCTAGTGACAACTTTTTAAAAATAGATCATAGGAGGCTCATGCCTGTGGCCCAGGAGTGGTTCAGTGTTGAGCCTGTCCGTAGCCACGTGAATGCATCAGGAAACAAAACTATGGAGCAGACAGGGTGAAATGGTACTTTGTACTGGTGCTGAATAGTACAAAGATCTGTTACTTAAGAACATAATACTAAATGAGGAAGAGATGGGGGTTTTTCCCCTCATTTCCCCTTCTTGGCCAGTGCAACTGGACAAGAAGATACATGACTGAAAAATCGAAAAGAGGTGAAATATTTTGCAGGTGATATGACTGTATGAAAGACCCAAACAAACTAAAAAGCTGTTTTCTTTATTATTTTCAATTGAATTTATTGGGGTGACATTGGTTAATAAAATTGTATAGGTTTCAGGAGCACAGTTCTATAATACATCATCTGTATATTGTAATGTGTGTTCACCACCCCAAGCCAAGTCTCTGTCACCATCTTAAAAAGTTCCTTTGCCCTGGCTGGTGCGGCTCAGTGGGCTGAGTGTCTTCCCACAGAGAGAAAGGTCGCGGGTTCCTGGTCAGGGCACATGCCTGGGTTGCAGGCCTGGTCCCCAGCTTGGGTATGTGCAAGAGGCAACTGATCCATCTCACATCAGTGTTTCTCTCCCTCTTTCTCCCTCCCTTCCTGTTGCTTTAAAAAGTAAATGGGGTGGGCTGGGATGGGAGTAAAAGACAAAACTGTACTTGAACAATAATTAAATAAATTATAAAATTTTTTTAAGTAAAAATCTTTTTAGAAATATGCATAAAGAGCTATTTTAATGAGATAATTCAATAAATTAGCAAGGGACTTAATGAATATTTGAATTAGTTTCCTGTATGCAAAACAATTTGAAATATAGTGAAAGATCCCATTTATGATAACGAAGTAGATACACTACCTGGTTAAACTAACTGCCTGGGTACGGGAAGAGCTGCTAAAAACAAGACAAGATCTGCAGGAAATAAAAAGAAATACAGATGGTTTCTAACTTTTTTCACTCACCAGGTTAAACGAGATTTAAAATAAAATGCATTTGCGGAAAATCATGATAACATCAGGGTTGCAAAGGGTTTGGGAACACCAGTGTTCCACTGCGGAACAGATCAACAGCAGGGCCGCAACAGCCCGTTTCCACATTTAAATGCATAGATGGGTCCCTTTGCCGGGGCAGTCCCACTTCTAGGGGTTTATCCCACAGATAATCCTCGCACGTGTGACCAGAGAAATTTGCGTGTGAATATTTTGGCAGTATTGTCCATAGTGAGGGAAATATTTACATTTGTCATTGAAATAGGATCTCTCCAGAAGGAGACACAATTAAATGCTGCTTCTGGAGACAAAAGGAGCATGAGAAGTTCATTTTTTCCCTAGGCATCTTTCTATTGTTCGAACTTTCTAAACATCCTGTTAGAGGAATGTTTTTGTAAATGTAATTTTTTTGTAAATAGGTAAGTGCAAGTTTGCCAAAACTACCAGTTTTTCGACAAGTAAATTGAGGCTCAGAGAGAGTGAGTCATCGGCCCCATACAGACAGCAAGTCGGGGTCTTGGTTGGACTCGAACCTTGGTTTCACGTTTGTGAGTCCACTTCTCACGTAACCAGGCCCCGCCCGGCTCCTCCCCTCAGCTCCGCCCCCGTTTTGCGGAGCCGCCCCACCTGTTGGGTCCAGCCTGTAGTTAAGGTACAACTAGGATTCAAGCTACGCTGAGAGTAGACCTAGCCTCGGATCCCTGGACACTGGGACAGGTGACCCCGGGCGGGAACGGTCTGTGCGGCGCGTAGCCCCGGAGGGGATCCCCGGGGACCTCTCAGGGGTGGTATCCGGGGGCTCATTGCGCCTCAGCGGGCGAGGTTGCGTCTGCGCGGGGGTTAATGCGAGCCAGGCCCGAGAAGCGAGATGGCGTCACGGTCATTTGCATAGGCCTTTCCGGGTTAAGTAACAGAGAGCTTTAAGGACCAATCGCGTGTGTCTGTGCAGAAACAGTGGGGCTATGGAACGCGCCCTTGACTGCAGAGTTGGCTGTTACCAGGTTCGCCACTCCGCGCGCCCACCCGTGGCGCCCTCCTTCAGGTACTTCTTTCGTGTCCACAGGCCGCCCGCAGACCACCCCCGCCACGCGCGGGCCACGACGACGGTCCCCGCAGGATCCGCCGGTCGGTCCCGGGACGCCCGAGTGGCTCCTCCCCAAGGTTGATGCCCACCCGGGTCCCCCACCATACCCACGGCTCCCGGGGGGACCTGCAGAGCCGCCCTCCTGGCCCAGGGCCCCCGGTGAGTCTGAATGGGAGGAGGGTCCCCAGGGTGAGCCTAGGCAGAGGATTCATTCCCCGCAGTTTAAAGGATCCCGGCTACTTCCCGATACCCTCATTAACTCCAAACTGATTCCTGCGGCGTCCGCAGCATCTGGCGCCTCGCGGCCTTGAAACCAGCGGCCTCCGCTCCCTGTGCCAAACGCAGCCAGGAGTTCACAGGGCAAGGCCTAAGAAGATTGTATTTGAGGATGAACTGCCCTCCCAGGCCCTCATGGGCACCAAGAAGCCTGTTGGAGCCATTCCTGAGGGGCATATGTCTAGGCCATGCCCAGTGCCCGACTATGAGCTGTAAGTGTCCCCCATGTGGTTGCTGAGGCCTGGGGACAGGAAGGGGGCACTGAGTCTGGGGCTTTGACAAGTGAATAAGAGTTGACCAATTGGTAAGGGAAAAAAAGGGCATTTTGAGCAGGGTGCCCAGCATGGGTTAAGAAAAACAAATTGCACTGATTAGGGGAAAGGCAAGGGTTCTTTACACTCACACTCTCCAATACTCTCAACACTGCCCCCTTCCCTGCAGTAAGTACCCGGCAGTGAGCAGTGAGAGGGAACGGAGCTGCTATGCCGCTGTGTTTCAGGACCAGTATGCAGAGTTCTTGGAGCTCCGGCAGCAGCTGGGCTCTGCACAGAAGAAGCTCCAGCAGCTGAAGGCTCTGCTGACCTCACTGCCTGCTCCCCGAAGCCAGGTCAGCAACCAGGTGGAAACCCCTGCCCCACAGCCCTTCCAGGTGGCCAGACCCTGGCCTCCAGCACGCCCACTGGGTCCCTGTCTCCAAACTCTTCCTCCTCCAGACTGGGCAGGCACCACCACACATGAGCCGACATCAACCCTTAAGGTCCTCCCTAGATGGGTCACCATGTCTCTCTGAGCCTGTTTCCCCATCTCTCCTTGGGTCCAGCACTCCCTGAGTCCCTCCTCCTTCTTCCCTTGTAGAAGGAGGCTCAAGTAGCCGCCCGTGTCTGGAGGGAATTTGAGAAGAAGCGGACGGTGAGTCATGGTCTCCTGAATCTCACAGCCTGGCCTTTGCACCCCTGACACTCCCGTAAGTGCCCAGTTTCACAAAAAGAAAACTGAGGCTCAGAGAGGAAAACCCAAGGGTCAAGCAGCTTAAGGGCCATAGGCCAGACTGCCACAAGGACTTTCCTGGCTCTCACCCTGCCCAGGACCCCATCTTTCTGGACAAACAGGCTCGCTGCCGCTACCTGAGGGACAAACTAAGGCACCTCAAGGCGCAGATCCAGAAATTCGACAACCGAGGAGACAGCGAGGGCTCCGTGTACTTCTGAGCTACCTGGCAGAGGGACACATTGGGGTGGGGGGGTCCCACCTCACCCTCGCTTCTCTTTCTACCTCCTAGCCTTAGCTCTTGCTCTTCCACCCGTACAGAGTAGCTTTCCCCGATTGCAAATGCCTCCACCCTTGAGGCTTAGCTCTGATGACCCCTACTCAAGAAATTCTTCCCAGGACCTTCTCCTTGACTCCCAGCCCTAACCCCTGGAAGCAGGTGCTGCTTTCCAGTCCCAGTGGAATAAACATTTCTTAAATAGATTCTATATATAGCTGCTTAACACTGTTGCCACAAAAAAAATTGTTCTTCCATCTTCTAGGGGAGAAAAAAGTCAAGGTTCCAAGATACAGCTTTGCCCAAGGTCTCTGGGCAAGTATGAATCGTAGTCTGTCCAGGGCGCTCCCTCTCTTCCTCAGGTGGCCCTTTCTATGGGAAAGTGAGGGGCCAAGTGTTCCCACAGGTCCAGTAAAGGAGACAAAGGACCATAGAGTCTTGCTGGGGTAGCCCCCTGGAAAATTCCTGTGATGCGATTCTGGGAACCACCTGAAGGGGGCAGATGCGGCTCACCTACAGAAGGCCCTGACACCAATCAGTTAAATGGGTCCCTGTGATTTTCCATTTCTGGGCATTGCAGGCCGAACCGTGATTGGCACTGGGCACTGTGTGGACACAGTTCACACACCTGGCCCGTGGCTCAGGTGCGTGGGACACTGGTAGTGCCAGGCTCCCCATGGGGCCATGTGCTGGTCCCCTTTGAGTCTTGGCCTTTCAGAGGAGCCACACGGGACAGGGACAATCAGGGAAGCAAACTGTGGGCACAGCAGCCTCAGTCCCTGGGCCTGCCCTCACAAAGCCCCTGCTCTCAGGGAGGGTGGCCCTCGGCCCAGTGTGACAACAATAATGGGGTCCTGAGGGCAGTCTTAACAGCCAGGGAGGCTCAAGATGACTTCTCCCAGAAAGGGCCATGTGGGTGGGGTTTTTGTAGTTCAACAGCTGGGCCTGGACAGACATCGAAGTCTTCAGCCTGGGGACTGGAAGCAAAGCAGATGCAGCGGTCTTGCTCAGTCCTCAGGTGTCCTGTGAATCTGAGAAATGGGGCACTGCTGTCCATTCCAACTGAGTGGACATCCATCTACTTACCCACAGGACACTTCAGAAGATACCCAGTTCAGCCTCAGTGGGTTCCCAGTAGCCAGGGCATAAGACCCTCACTCAGTTCCACAGAGAATGGCCTCACACGCACAGTCCCCCATCTTTCCAGGCCTCCGAGATGGACACGGGGCAGGCTAGGGTATGAATGGGGAGGGCTAAGCACTAGCTGGGTGAGACCCAAGCTCTTCCCTCACTGCTTTCAAAGGGGCGCCTTTGATGGAGGGCTTGTCTCTTGCCTGATAAGGCCTCAGTCAGGGCCAAGGTGCCACCCCCCACCACCATCCAGGCCCCCTAGAGCCACAGTCCTGGCAATAACTCCCTTAGGTGCCTTCCACACTGCAGGCTGCAAACAGGGCCAGGTCCCTGATGGCCTCCACCATCCCATATCAACTTAAGTTCACATTTCAAAGTCTGAGAGAGGGAGAAAGAGGGAGAGAAACATCAGTCAGCTGCCTCTCACGGGGACCTGGCCTGCAACCAGGGTCATGTGCAACCCAGGCCATGTGCCCTGACAGGGAACCAAACCAGCAACCTCTTGCTTCACAGGCTGACACTCAATCCACTGAGCCACACCAGCCAGAGCTACAAGTTCTTTAGTTACATATAGATTCAAACTGGCTTGGGGACAGAAGGGGAAGTCTGGGCTATGGGACTAAAACAAGGATTTCCAGGTATGGCTGGATCCAGGGCCTCCTGTGGCATCCTAGGAACCTGATCCTCTTTTGGCTCTGCTTTGATTATATCCTCCTAGTTCCGAGCCCTGCCGTCCAAGCCACTGGCCAGCCCTAGGCCACCTGCCCAGACCGATCACTGTGCCCAGGGGAATGGGGGGCTTTGTCTGGGCTATCATGTGACAGAGCTAGCCCCAGGTGTTTTTCTGAGGACACTGGGGTCCAGATGTCATGATTAAGGGCTAATCAAAGAAAACAATGAGGTGTTTGGTCCAGGGTAGGTATGAATCTATGAGGCTCACTCCCTGAAGCCAAAGCCTGAATTTGAACTTGAGCGATGAGCTAGGCTTAACTCCTACAAACTCACTGGCTGACCTCAACCCCCAGTTCCCCCCAGCCTCAGTTTGCCCACAACGCTGTCCAACAAAACCAGCAAGAGGGGACGTTGTTAGTTGTGGGGTTTCCAGGTGGGGGGAGTAGGTCCCAGTGGTAGGCTACCCTTCCCTCAAAAGATGACCAAGGCTATGCAGGTAGGAAATACCTTTATTAATTGGCCTTAACTCATTAACCATGTAGTGTCCAACGTGGATCATGTGTCCAGAGGAAGCCACCTGACTCACACGACCCCTGCCTGGCTGTGGCCACCCCTGCAGTCCAGACGCCAGGCCTCTGTCCATCACACCAGGGCAGCCAACCCCTCCATCCCACAAGTTCATGCCTGAGGTGCTGAGGGACGAGACTGTCCCAGGATTGGAACCTCAGTTCCTCCCCTCATCTTGGCCAGGGGGTTCTTGGGAGGACAGGACCGGAGCCTGGACCATCAGTCACTTTTTGGTTTCATGATCATTTAAAAAACAGAAAAGACAAACATTTCACAGTCTTTAAAAAATAGGAGTCTGAGGAGAAAGGCTGGGGTCCTCTGGGGATCCCCCCTGAGGCTCAAGCAGCCATACCCCTTGAGGTCTGCAGACCAGGCCACGGAGCCCTGGGTCCTGTCCAGTCATTGGCCCGAGCCATAGGGCCAGTTGAAGGTACTCCCGGACAGCAGCATGTCTCGGATCAGCGTCTCAATGGGCGTCTTGCCTACCAGACGCATGAAGAACAGCTGGGAGATGAGGGAGGCAGGGACTGCACGCAGGGCGGGGAGCCTCAGCAACAGGCGCCCAAAGCGCTGGGGCTGGGACGGATACTGGGCCCGAACATACTCGGTGAGGGCCACCTGCGCCTTCTCCTGCAGACTCTCCACGTGTGCTGGGTCCGAGAGGCCACAGGCATCTGGGAGGACAAGGGCAAGATCAGATGGGTAGGACACGGCAGGAGGACACAGAGTCCCAGGAGTTACTGGAAGCGCCATGGGGCTGAGGATATGGAGGGAAGGGGGCACTCAGGAGGCGGGAGGCAGGGGCCTGGAGCACAAGTGGGGATATCTAAGCAGTGGTCCTCGAGAGACGGAGGTGGCCTCGTGTGAGGAAGATAACAAGGGCACAGGCAGTGATACCTCAAGCGGGGAATGGGACCCTGAGGCCTTGACAGGAACACAAGTTCTAATCAACATCAAGGAAAACAGGGCTGGGGAGGGGACTGGGGGAGAAAGGCAAGGCCCAGAGGGGCCTGGGGTGTGAGTGAACGTGACAGTGTCTAGATGGGGCCCTTTGAAGGTGGGGGCAGGGGAGCCTTCTGGGAAAAGAAGGAAGGCAAAGCCTTATTTCTCACATGAAAGCCACCTCCCAGAATGGCCTGGGTCTGGTCCTCCATCCCTGGCCCCAAGAAGTCACCTAGAGGGGTCTGGAACCTTCCAGAGTACAGAGGCAGCTGTGCCACCAATCCCCAGAATTAGGTAGGGCTTTAGCAGCTGGATGATTACAAGTGGCAAGGAGGGTTTTAGGAGGGCCTGGCACCTCTTCAACGGGAAGGACCTCAAAGCCACACCCCTCTCCACCCAGTGCAGCTCTGGTGGCCTGAGAGCTCTGTCTGCATCAGAGGTCTGGGTCACAGAAATCAGGGAGCGGGGTCCCAGAACTAGGTGCCAGAGCACCCTGCCTGTTTCTGAGCAACCCTTCCTTCCTTCGTAAGTGCTAAATGGGAAGCACCCTGATCTGGGGGGGCCGAGGGGCCCGAACCAAGTACCGGAGACCTCCCCTCCCATGCCCCCGGCCCTCTGATGGCAGTGCTGAGGACAGTGAAAACTCTGATGAGGGGATGGGGAGTGGGGGGATCTGAGAGAACCCCAGAATCAGGCAGAGGCTGTGGGGACCTGAGTCACCAGTCCAGACCCAGCCTGGGGCCTGGTCACCAGACTCAAGAGTTCTTAGGAAGACCTGGGACCAAGGTGACATACCTCCTGTATCACCTCCTCCCCTGCCCCCAATTAGCACTCACAGCAGGTGCAGGGCCACAAGTCTGGCAGGCAGGGGGTCAGGGAGTAGAGGGCTCTGGTGTCACTCCCCCCACCTCCAAAGAGTCCCTATGTTCCCCCTTTGAAGCACATCTTACCAGGTGTGAACAGCGCGATGGCCTTGAGGCAGCCGTATTCCGCAGAGTCGACCTGCAGGCGACCCAGCTTGTCCACCTGCTCCTGGAAGGCACGCACCTGATCCATGAAGGCCACTGCACGCTCAGCGGCCATGGGCGCGGCGTGCAGACCAGCTGCGGCCAGCAGCGGCGCCGTGTGCAGGGGCAGTGCCGCCTGTGCGGCGTTCAGGACAAACAGCTCGCTCCAGCTCAGGCGCAGCAGCGCCACCTGGTCGGCCACCGGCAGGTCAGGGAAGAAGGGCGCGTGGCGAGCCCACTCCACTGTACTGAACAGCAGCCGCGCGGCCAGCTCACACACGTTGTCGATTCCCAGCACTGCGCCCGATGAACCACTGCCTGCGCCAAAGCGCCCGGCCGCTGCGGGGTAGGGCTCGGCGCGCAGCAGCTGCGCGATCAGCTCCGATACAGGCTGCCCCGGGAAGAGGTCCCCGCCCGCTACCGCTGCAGCCAGCACAGAACCAGGGGGGCTGCCCGAGGAGGCAGTCACAGAACCCGGCAGCGAGTGTGGGATGCGGCCACGCTGGACCGCTGTTGGGAGTGCGGAGAGTCGGGCAGGAGAAAGGGGAAGGAGAGAATTGAGGGATGGGGGAGGAAAATGAGTAAAAGGAGGATGGAGGAACATGGGGGAGGGCCATGAGGTCGAAGGAGGAACAGAATAGGGGGAAAGTAGATATCCAGAGAATCATGGGGGGCAGACAGGGAGGAATAAAGGGGGAAAGACAAGTCATCAAAGGGTCATTCAGCCCCTTCCCTCTAAGACCCACCACAGCCAGCCTAGCCCTGAAACCCCCAACCCCACCCCACAGGCACATAGCTCCTTGGGAGGCCAGGGCACAGGGTCCTGGAGACCCTGCTCTTCCCTCTGCCTGCAGCAGAAATGCCTGTCCAGCCAGCCCCAACCCCGC